AGAGAGAGAGAGAAAGAGAGAGAGAGAGAGAGAGAATACCTGAAGCAGAGCTATAGCGCCAGAATAATCCCGTTTCTCGAGAAATTCCTCCAAATCGGGAACACCTTTTGCGCTGACCATTGGGCCGGCGGTCGCAGTGGCCACTGGTTTAGCTCTCGATAACAACTATATAGACATAAACCATAGTTAAGACTAATATAATTAGAGTTGAAATAAATTATTACCATTTTATTTGTTGTGAATTATGTTTCTATAGAAACAAAGTTTTGACTTTTCATTAAACAAACCAAACATTGATCTGAAATGAAATCTAGTTTTGTGTCTATTTTTGACAAAAACACAGTTTTCTCATTGAAATCAATACAACACTGAAACCACTCCAAGAAGTCGAGTCCCAGAATCAGAATATTACCGAACCCTTCGATCACCGAAAAGGGAAACCTTAACCCCCGGCCCGACTCTAACTCCATATCCAAAGCATGGATTTGGCCGACAGAGCGCTTCTCACCCCCAAAACCGGTCGTCTTTCGTCTCCATTTCCTTCGGGTGTCAATCGTATGGTAGAGACCGAGACGTCGGGCCAGCGATGAGCCGAGAAGACTAGAGTCGGCGCCCGAATCCAAAACAGCGTAAACTGTTTGGTCGGACACTCGAAGTCGAATAAGAGCCGAACGTTTCCGTCCAAAAAGTCCGGCAAATTCTTGTTTGGAGCGCAACTCGAGAGCCATTAGGAACTGACGGCGAAGTCGACCAATAAATCTGTGGCATGTCTTGAGATCTGAGACGCCGTCAGAGTCGGGACTAAACTTGCCTTTGATTTGTCGCATCTCTCGGACCAACTCTTCGGTATCTTTTGACTGAAGAGCGGACCAGAAGTTTGGGAAATATATTTGTGTCCATTCGTTGCAGACATTCATCTCATAATAGTTTTAAAACTTTTAATTGTAATCATTGTTAAAAAATTTCTCTACACTATTGTTTGCCCACAACTGACGGGGATTTTTAGGCACTATTTTAGGCCTATATTTGGACCTTTTTTATAGCACACAAACCCATCGAATACTACACACAACTAGTTATCACAAAACGTACCAAAACTCGCATAAATTACACTTACATTTAAATAGCGATACAAATGAAACACAATTAATGTTAACACAAATCGCAAAAATCGGCGCTTTTTTGATGGGATTCAACACTTCGGAGACAATCGTACAAAACATACGATAATTTGGGCCAAAATCTGATCGAATCAGAGGTCAAACTCATTGCGAACTCGAGTGCAAAAAAGGGTTCAAAAGATGACGTAATTTATGGCTCATTGAAAACACATGTAACGAGAGTTTGATCGCAAGGTTTGCGCGTTTCTGGCATTCAGTCAATCATTCAGTGATTGTATTGTATTTGAAGTCATATATTGTCGACAAGAGATCCAATTGATTGCCGCCGAAGATGGCCGACGAGAAGATCATATATCGCGAGTACGATACGAGTGAATTGCGAAGATTCAGTTTACATGTTATCGACATGAATATCGATATATATACGACTGAAATGAATGATTACATCCGCAGTAAAAACGTATGAAATATTAACACAAATAAAATACCAGTCAATATACACTATAAACCTTAATTATGCACCCAGACATTTATTATTAGTACAGCGAAACTGCTTGAATTAGGTTATTATACTTTTCACTGTTGTATATTTTAATTATTCAGTTATTAATCGCATTTAGGTATTTTTTAAAATAATGATCAAAGATCGGAATTTTACGTGATTTGGAAAACGTCCCGAAATAAACTATTTTGTCTGTAACAAAGTCAGAATTATTAAAACACCATTCTGTAGTAAACTACAAAAGAATAAATTTGATATGCTACACGACCCATTTGACCTTAAAACTTGGCCACAATTGCGTAAAAACAAAAGTGGTAAAAAAAGTAAAATGATTTTACAAGACCTCTATAAGAGATACGGAAATAAATGATACATTTTTTAAGTTTATTTTTAAACGGGGTTCAAAACTTTATTATACTGTCTAGCTGTGTGCTTTAATATTTTTCATATTTGAAAATTCGGTAATTTTAGCAATTTGTGTTGCGTAATTGTTGTCATGTCTACAAGTCAAATGAGATCTATAGCATATCAAATTAATAGATTGTGTTATAAAATGATGTTATAATAATACTAAGTTTTCTATGAGTTAAGTTTTTTGAGACCAAACAATTACGAACATCAAAATATTAAAGCACACAGCTAGACAGTATAGTAAAGTTTTGAACCCCGTTTAAAAATAAACTTAAAAAATGTATCATTTATTTCCGTATCTCTTATAGAGGTCTTGTAAAATCATTTTACTTTTTTTTACCACTTTTGTTTTTACGTAATTGTGGCCAAGTTTTAAGGTCAAATGGGTCGTGTAGCATATCAAATTTATTCTTTTGTAATTTACTACAGAATGGTGTTTTAATAATTCTGACTTTGCTACAGACAAAATAGTTTTTTTTCCAGGACGTTTTCCAAATCACGTAAAATTCCGATCTTTGATCATTATTTTAAAAAATACCTAAATGCGATTAATAACTGAATAATTAAAATATACAATAGTGAAAAGTATAATAATTTAATTCAAGCCGTTTCGCTGTACTAATAACAAATGTCTGGGTGAATAATTAAGATTTGTAGTGTATATTGACTGCCTCTATAGTTATTGCATTTGTTTTATTATATATTTTTAAAATACAATTGACAGGAAGTGGACGACACGGCCTATACTGTTGGTGAGGCGCCGCAGACCATCGCGGAGTCCGACTATAATATGAAGGTATATCTCGACGGCTGCCGTATCCATAGCCGGACTAAAGTCCTCATCGCGTGGCGCCGTCTTATTGATGGCCAGGCATTGGATTCCTTATTCAGGAATTGATTGCCGTAAAGGATATACTATTTCTCAATACTAATGCATTCATTAACTTTTAAACTTTTTAAATTGCATTTTATTATTCATTTTATAATTCATTTTAATATTTGTGATACTTTTATGTATTTTTTCATTTAAAGCGCTCATTATATTTCATACTCAGACCAAGTCTTTGAAAAATATATAATTATAAATCGTTAATTAGTTACAAATAAATAAATAGTTATCAATCAAAATAATGTCTATAATTAAATGCCTCTCAATCTGTAACCCAATTGACAGAATAACGGCAACAGGTTTTTTGGGCAAAAATCCCTCACCAAATGATTTAACATAAAAAGTGCTTTGAATTTAATTTTCATAAAACTATTGGTTAAATAGGGATACGATTTATATGTTATGTTATTTTCGCGATTCAATTACTTTTCAATTTAGCACTCAATCGGTTCAGTCGTTAATCTATAATCCAATTGTTGACAAACAACTCATTTTACAACTAAAATAATATTCAATAAAACGATTCAATTTCTTTGGCAAATCTTATTATTGTTATCAAACATGAAATTTTTGTTTCGCAAAAAAAGTTTACGAGTTATCGTGTTGAATATATTGTGTCTATTATAGAAAGATTAATTAATTTTTCGGTTAATTTCCCATCTTATTGAATGTGACGGCCAGGGGGTGGGGTTTGTTGTATAATAGCACGGGTTATGTAAGTTATGATTGATATGAGGGCACAAGTAGTGGTGGTATTAATATTGCACTTATAGTCTCCAGTTCTTTGATCCCTCGTTTCTAAATTGTTTGCATTCATAATAATGTTATTATTATTTTCTATAAAAATGCAATATTTTATAAGAAAATGATTTTCTATTACAATGCATACAATTAAAGGAAAGGGTGTATAAAGTGCTTAATTGTTGCGATAATTTTGTTTTTGTAGAAAGTTCAGATTATTTTTGGATTATTTAATTGGTAATTAATTATTACTAATTACTATAATAAAGAGTGTAATTATTATTTATATTCAATATGAATTAATATACAGTATTTTTATTAAGTTATGGTTAAAAGTTATAACTTATTTTCAATTATAAATAGTTTAATCAACTCTTTATTCGAGCGTACAGTTAATATTCCATATCTCGAACCCTCTGTAACTCGAAAACCTCTACAACTCGAACTATTTTCAAAGTCCCGATTCACTCCCATAGACACCCCATTATAGAAAACCTCTACAACTCGAACCTCTGTATTCCGAAACGGAAACTATTTTCACAGACCCAATACCTTTCACTGAACCTCCACTACTCGAATTGTTTACTGAATTGTAAAATGTGTACTTTTTATACAAATGTTTGTGATCTAAAAGTGACATTTATTATCTAATTTTTTCATAAAATGTGATTTTAAATCTTATTAATTTTGATTTCAACATTTGTATTCATAAAATGATGCATAGCAGCACAACATTGTCAGAATGTTCTATAACTCGAACTTTTTTTGTAAATAATTCAATATTTTTCCGTAACTCGAACTTTCTATAACTCGAAAACCTCTATAACTCGAACAAACATTTGTGTCCCGACCCGTTCGAGATCGGGAGGTTTAACTGTATTATGTACAGTATTTGAACGTATTTACTAATAAACATGTGAAATCCAAGCGTAATATCTGTGACTTATTTGCATTTATATTAGATTTTAATCAAGAGATTAATTCCGTTAACTTTAAGCACAAAATTATTAGTATTTAAACGAAAATAATTTCAATATTAAATCACATCTTATTTATGTCTCAATCCCTTTCAATACTAATAAAACCTGTAATTTATATTTAAATAAACATAAGGTTTTGACATAAATTAAAACTACAGTAATTAATATCAATATAAAGTTGATATTATAAACAGTGAAAATGAATACATAAATAAAATGATGAATTATTTAGCAAATAACAAACAATTATTTATATATTTGCTATTTATATTCATTATAAGTCACACAATTAAGTGTCAAACTATTTGCGAAGACCTAAACCGAACTTCAGTAAGAATTTTACTACTTTTAAAGTAATATATTTTAAATAAAAAGTTTACACAAGTTTTTTGAACTACATTTTTAGCAACAATTGATTGAATCGAGAAATTTTCAAACCGAAAGTCATTACATAAAGACAAGCGATGGATATATTCTGACAGTATTTCGGATAATAAATCCGTACTTAAAACCAGATTTAAAATCCAATTTGCGGCCAATTCTACTCCAACACGGATTCACATCCAATTCTGATGAACACATTGTCTTCAAAAGCGGTGCCATTAATGCCAGCGGTATATATAGTGAGGGAAATAATGCGACCGATTGTTACGAATTCAAAACTGTGGGCAAAACACTGGGGTTTGTATTGTCTTCGTGTGGTTACGACGTATGGCTCGCAAACCTAAGAGGAAACAAGTACTCCACAAATCACACCACAATTGATCCAAAAGACAGTGACTTTTGGAGCTTCACTATCGATGAGTTGAGCTAAATAGACCTCCCGATGACTATTGACTATATCCTCAACCATACAAAGAGTCCGAAGATTGGTTTCATCGGGTATTCAATGGGAACAACACTTATGTTTGGATTGCTGTCAACGAAACCAGAGTTTAACGTCAAAGTAGATCCGGTCATAGCGTTAGCTCCGGTCGTCTATTTGTCAAAACTTCCCGATTATATGAAAAGGTGTACAATATTTCAACCAATCGTCCGATTGTTTCCAATGAAATTATTACAACAGGGAGAGTGGCGTCACGTGACCACTGAACTGCTCTGTGGCCGCAAACTGGCCGCTAATATGACATATAGGGACGCATTGGACGCCCATATAGTGGACGAGTCGTCGACAATGGTTTTGTCACATTATTTGCAATGGATTTCGAGGAATAGATTCGATAAATACGATTACGGATGGCTTCATAACTATCGCCTGTACGGCAGTCCTAACGCACCCGTCTATCCATTGGCTAACATTACGTCCCAAAGAATAGTGTTGTTTGAGTCGCCGAAGAATGACTTCTTCAGCGATCAACACGATCTCCAAAGACTCAAAAGTGAGCTCAAAGTGGATCTCTGGAGAGATTACGTGATTCCCGAAAAGGATTGGATTCACACCGACTATCTGTTCCACGAGAACGTCGACCGACACGTCGTCGAAGTTATACTCAAACTATTAAAACTTTAACAGCAAGTTTTCACTATAAACTGAAAAAAGTTTTTTAATTTTAGTTTAAATATTATTTAACGGCTAATTATATTGTTGCGATCCGTACGGCAAGTATTGGACTAATCAGAAATCGGTTATTGCGGAACCGGCCGCTAACTATACCCGTGACGTTACGGTAAAATAGTTACACATGGCCAGGGTTACTTATTATCGACAGAGCATTTTGTAAACTTTTTTTATGTCAAATTTCACGCTAAAAACGAATTTGAACTTTTGAATTTGAATTTGAAATTGAACGAATTCGATTTTGACATTTGTGTCGATGGAACACATTTATTGAATAGATGAATGAATGAGTGTGTGATTGAGATGAAGTACCATGTATGGTTCAGGGCGTATATACCGTGTACTTATATATTGACGCGTCCGGTTTGTCCTGAGCCCTTTCAATTGCACGCACACCACACGACTCGCACTCTTTTTGTCCGACGAGGCCTTCAGTCTTGATGTTAGCGTCCGGTCAACTAGCGATCGTCTCGTTGTGCGTCTGATAATGTGCACAGTGATGTGGCGTCGGCTTCCGGAATCTGGCTAACTGGTCTCGTTGTCGTCCCTAGGCGTGGCGATATGTCTCGAGCGGTAGACGGCCAGATGTTGTTGCCGACGATACGGTAGCAGTCGATACAAGCTCTACCATTTAGTCGCATAGCGTCTTTCTACTGCTTTCTTTGTCCAGTAGAGTCCAAACCAAAGTCTCGTTTGTTCACGACAGTCCTCAGTCTTTAGCAGTGAACGGCCAACAGTCACTCCAATGAACGGCCGAAAGTCACTCAATCGAATGGGCCAACAGTCTTCTTACTCAATGTCCTCTTCTTACTCAAGGGAGGGAAACTAGTGGGCCGAACAAATAATACAATTACGAGCTTTGGGACTGTGAAGTGTTTTATTTAATGCTTAACATAAAACATGTCTGTACTGATGGCTATGATTGGTCAATTAGGTCAAGCAATGGTGATTGTGTACGTTTTATAGTTTTCCGAAAATCGGTTAGATTGGAATTAAACTTTTTATTAAAATACTGTGGTAGACATGTCTGTACTGATGGTAATGATTGGTCTATTAGGTCAAGCAGTGGTGAATGTGTGAGTTTTGAAGTTCCCCGAGAATCGGTTAGATTGGAATTAAACTTTTTTATAAAGTTACTGTGGTAGACATGTCTGTACTGATGGCTATGATTGGTCCATTAGGTCAAGCAATGGTGAATGTGTACGTTTTGAAGTTCCCCGAGAATCGGTTAAATTGGAATTAAACTTTTTTTTTTTAAAATACTGTAGTAGACATGTCTGTACTGATGGCTATGATTGGTCCATTAAGTCAAGCAATGGTGAATGTGTACGTTTTGAAGTTCCCCGAGAATCGGTTAAATTGGAATTAAACTTTTTTTTAAAAATACTGTAGTAGACATGTCTGTACTGATGGTAATGATTGGTCTATTAGGTCAAGCAGTGGTGAATGTGTGAGTTTTGAAGTTCCCCGAAAATCGATTAGATTGAAATTAAACTTTTTATAAGAATACTGTGGTAGAAATATCTGTATTGATGGCTATGATTGGTCCATTAAGTCAAGCAATGGTGAATGTGTACGTTTTGAAGTTCCCCGAGAATCGGTTAGATTGGAATTAAACTTTTTTTAAAAATACTGTGGTAGACATGTCTGTACTGATGGCTATGATTGGTCCATTAGGTCAAACAATAGTGAATGTGTACGTTTTGAAGTTCCCCGAGAATCGGTTAGATTGGAATTAAACTTTTTTATAAAGTTACTGTGGTAGACATGTCTGTACTGATGGCTATGATTGGTCCATTAAGTCAAGCAATAAGTCAAGCAATGGTGAATGTGTACGTTTTGAAGTTCCCCGAGAATCGGTTAGATTGGAATTAAACTTTTTTATAAAGTTACTGTGGTAGACATGTCTGTACTGATGGCTATGATTGGTCCATTAAGTCAAGCAGTGGTGAATGTGTGGGTTTTGAAGTTCCCCGAAAATCGGTTAGATTGGAATTAAACTTTTTATAAAAATACTGTGGTAGACATGTCTGTACTGATGGCTATGATTGGTCCATTAGGTCAAACAATAGTGAATGTGTACGTTTTGAAGTTCCCGAGAATCGGTTAGATTGGAATTAAACTTTTTTATAAAGTTACTGTGGTAGACATGTCTGTACTGATGGCTATGATTGGTCCATTAAGTCAAGCAATGGTGAATGTGTACGTTTTGAAGTTCCCCGAGAATCGGTTAGATTGGAATTAAACTTTTTTATAAAGTTACTGTGGTAGACATGTCTGTACTGATGGCTATGATTGGTCCATTAAGTAGGAACTTCAAAACGTACACATTCACTATTGTTTGACCTAATGGACCAATCATAGCCATCAGTACAGACATGTCTGTACTGATGGCTATGATTGGTCCATTAGGTCAAGCAGTGGTGAATGTGTACGTTTTGAAGTTCCCCGAGAATCGGTTAGATTGGAATTAAACTTTTTTTAAAAATACTGTGGTAGACATGTCTGTACTGATGGCTATGATTGGTCCATTAGGTCAAACAGTGGTGAATGTGTGAGTTTTGAAGTTCCCCGAGAATCGGTTAGATTGGAATTAAACTTTTTATAAAAATACTGTGGTAGACATGTCTGTACTGATAAAGCATTTTTATTCATTTACAAAATAGTGCCACGATGCACACAAAGAACATATAATATTTTTACGCACTAGGCCTGCGACTACCAAATGTACATTGGTCAGTGCTGTTTATTCTATAAAAATAAACTCAAATATCGTTCACCATGGCACTATTTTGTATAAAATTAAGGTTTAATCATACTTGTAATTAACTAATTTTTATACAATTTTACAAATATTTATAGACTATCATTTGTGAGGCATTCTTGAAATTGTTTATACCTGGTGTTTGTCATTGATTTTTAAATAATTGTTAAACACACAACTTTACAAAAGTGTGCCACGATGCGCGTTAAGGGTTAACACTCGCATTTACTCTGATATCCATTTTAATAGTGATTTTTAGTCTCGATTTTTCGGGAATAAAAACATGCAAATTCGGGAGTATACATGACCAAAATAGGGAAAATTCGGGAATTACATTTGTATTGGGGTTTCACATAAAAATGATATATTAAAGTGATTTTTAAAAAGTTTGTACCGTAGCAAAATAATGACATTTATTGAGGCAAAAATAATTAATATTCATATTAATATGCCATTTGTATCTCATGTTTTATATTGTCGGTAAACATCATATTCACAAGAATTTGTTTTATGTATTTTACTATAATATACAACAAATTTATCAAAAATTATGTGAATTTTGCAGCAAGTTTTGGTATTCTGTAAGCAAATTCATTAGGATTTTGATAGAAAATTCCTATTTTTAAAAGATTTGTTTTTAGAAAGTTTTTCGGACAATTATTAATAAAATAGTGGCTTTTCGGGAGTTTTCCTAACAATATACCAAAATCGGGAATTTTCTCAAAAAGTGCCAAAATCGGGAAAAATCGGGAAAATTAAAATGACATATTTTGGAGCCTTTATATCCCCCTTTAGTGATTATGAATCATAACATTTCGTGGCCCAAGAGTCGGGTCAACAGTTGGCACACAATTCATAGCAATAATAATTAACAAATAATTAATATAATAATTCATTTCAATAAACAAGAAAAATACATTTTGTGACACTTTTTAATGTTTAAATTAATTAACACTAAATTAAGATAAGAAATGAATTAATAATTGTATAAAAAACACATTTAATTGCTGTTTTAATAGACGATAATTTGAAATAAGTTTTGTCCCAAAAATAGCACTTATTATAGCATTGAATGAGATTTGAAACCCATTTGACAGAAATATAGCGTTAATTGAGTTTTAATAGCATTTGATTCGCAATTATTGTAGAATCCATTGAAACCTCATTTAAATGCGTCTCAAATTGAAGTGACATTTGGTTTGGCTTTCAATTGAACCGCAAAAATGACCACAAATTCCAATCCATTCTTTGTAAGTATCACTCAATTAGTTCCCACTTATAATCACGTCTTTAACAATCACTTTATCACACTTTTAGACACTTTATGGCACGAGTTCTTCGGCGGCGGACGTGTCGACCACTAACGCGACCACAAGTTTCCTGCGATCGCTATTCAATGGCCGCCCGAATGGCACCACTTCTTCGTCGGACAACAGAATGACTGAATCGCGAGACTGGAGACAAGTGGCCACTACTTCGCGGTCCACAGCATTTGGCCAAATGTCTGCACCGATCGGTCAAAACAGACCACTAATGACTCGAACGCCTCTTTACGACCCAATGCTGACCACAACGACCACCGCTTCGGCAGAAACGGCGCATCGGATGACAACCTTAATGGCTGTGACGGAAGGCAGGGGTCGCGCCAAAGACGTGGTCGGAGTGGCGGTCGTCGACCTCTACAACCCGGTCCTCATTCTGAGTCAATTCAACGACAACTCTAACTACGTGTGCCTCCAAACCAAATGCCATGTCTTCCGTCCGATTGAGATAATAATACCCAACTCTTTGATGAGCGGAGAGAACCGTTTGCTTAAGACTTTGAGAGAGTTTTCGCGCGAAACAAATATCAAATCTGTGGACAGAAAGCACTTCAACGAAAGCACTGGTATCTGGTTTTCATTCAATTAATTGTTCAGAGATTTGATGATTTGTTTGCCACTAAAGGACTGGAACTGATTCGCAACCTCTGCTGCGATGACTACAAGACGGTCGAAATGGAGCTCAAGAATCAATACTATTGTCTGTCATCGGCGGCGGCTTTACTCAAATACATCGAGACCTTTGAGCACACGATATACGCGCCGAAGTCGTTGCGAGTGGTGTTCGAGGGCTCCGACCAAACCATGTCTATCGATCCGACGACAGCCAAACTCCTGGAACTGATCGTCAACTTAAACGACCCGAAGAGCTCTCACACTCTGTTCGGTGTACTCAACAAAACCAAAACCCGTTCGGGTTATCGACTGTTGCGGTCAAACCTATTACAGCCGTCAACCGATCGGACACTAATCGAGACGCGATTAGATATGATCGAAGAGATGGTCAGTTCGGAGACAATGTTCCGCAATCTGGAGTCACTGTTGTCTCAGTTCACGGCCATCGAAGTCGAGCGGATTATCTCGAATTTGGTGCAGACATCGAAACTCGAATCCTCGAAATGCGCCGAAAGGAAGATCGAGTCCGTGATTGTCGTCAAACACATGATAACACTGATTGAGCCGTTGGTTCAGACACTGAATCTGTGCGAAAGCGCTGTCTTCGGCGACTTCCTCCAGATCTTAGCCGACGAACGGTTCCAAACGATTATGAATGACATCAATGAAGTGATTCTGGAGACCAGTAAATACACGAAAGGGGCGCTCAATATGCGGCTCGAGAAGTGTCACGCCATCAAAAAAGGTCTCAACCATCTGCTGGACATCGCCCGACAGACGTACTCCGAAAATGTCGATGACATCAGTTATATCGTCGATCAGTATTCCTCCGAGTATTCGCTGCCACTGCGAGTCATCTATACGTCCGGTCGAGGCTTTCATATGCAGATCGTCGGCAAAGATGTCCACAAAATGGAGTTTTCATATCCGAGACATTTCTTGCGAATCAATGCCAGCAAAACGGCCATCGCTTTCACCACTCGAGAGATTGTCGAGAAGAATAATCGGATCAAATCAGCCGTCGAAGAGATCTACTTAATGAGTGACGCGTTCGTCACTTACAGTAACAGCTCTTTCAGTGAATTATTTTAATTATTTGTTTAATTTTATAGAATTATCAGTGAATTGATTGCTAGACTTCGCGCAAACATCGGATGTCTGTATAATGTGTCCGAAGTTTTGTCAAAAATAGATTTGGTGTTTGCGTTGGCCTTTCAGTGTTCGGTCGCTAACTATGTTCGGCCGGTCTTTAGCGGCGATTTGGCCGTAAAACAGGGCAGACATCCCATTCTGGAGAAGATTCTCAGCACTAAACCCGTTGCCAATGATATTGTATGCGTTTATTAAGTTTTTCCACAATTAATATCCAAACTGTTAATCGTTGTGTTGTTTAGCTTATGTGTGAAGACAACAACTTTATGGTAATCACGGGACCAAATATGAGCGGAAAGTCAACATTTCTTAAACAAGTGGCTATACATCAAGTGATGGCACAAATCGGTTCATACATTCCGGCGGAGTTCGCGTCCTTCAGAATCTGCGACAAACTCTTCTCACGGATCGGCAATAATGACGAGATTGAGACCAATTCCTCCACTTTTATGGTTGAGATGCGAGACGTGAGTCATATTCTGCACAATTGTACTCAAAACTCGTTGATAATCATCGATGAGTTGGGCAGAGGAACCAGTGTTGAAGAGGGCGTCGGCTTCTGTTTCGCCATTTGTGAACAATTGCTTCAAACAAAAGCGTTGACACTCTTTGCCACACATTTCACGGAAATGACAAAACTCGAGGACTTCTACTACAATGTCTCGAAGTATTTTCAGATGACATTAAATTGGTATTCAATTTAACACAACTCTTCATTTATATTTAGCTTTCATTTCGGTGTCAATCACTCCGTTATCGATGAGGTTAATGCAAATTCCTATACGTTTACACACGTTCTGGAGGCCGGAGCCACTCAGGAAGTGCTATACGGTCTCCAATTGGCTAATATGACGGCAATTGATCCCATTATTCTACATAACGCACAAGTTATTGCACAACAATTGCTTCAAACCTTTCACAAAGTAATCGTCTCTTATAACACATTAGATATCATTTAATTCACATTTGATTACATTTTTCAAGTCAATCGTAACGACACAAATGGATTCAGCGAAGAGAGCGAAATATAGGTTGACATCAATGCTGAAGTCATTGTCAAGTAATGGACAGATACCAGATGTGGAGTCACTCAACGAACTCCTCATTAAATACCAAACAGAAATTCAAAGCGGAACACAAGATGATAGCCAAATGGAAAATGATTTCAGTTTAATATAATTCAATAATTAGTTCATACATTCGCCACAAAATATTTTCATATCATTTATAAATCTAAATAATTATCTAAAAAACAAATCTACGGTTCAATTGATTCCGATTTCTTCTCATCGATGTCTTCATTGTTTTGGATGTCGTGTAACATTAACTATAGGATTATAAATGCAATTTCATTATTAGATTAAACATTATTTCAATAAATTTCTTAAAATCAATACTTTTTGAAAGAGAGTTAGTTTGCGATTATTGTTATTATTGTCCACTGGTTTCCATCGGTTATTGCCTTTCATTTGCTTCTTATTCCTATTATTTCTGTTGTTTTTTGAGTTTCTGTCAAAACGTTTATTCTTCTCATCAATTAATTCACTCTTCGTTTCACCCGTTTTCGCGTCATTTTGTGTCTCCTTTTCATTCAATTGTCTTTCATTATCTCTCATTTGTCTCTCCTTTTCCTTCATTTCCATCAATTGATTCCTCTTCTCAATGGCTTCGAGTCTCTCCTTCTCTTTCATGTCTGCCTTCTTCTGAATGTTATCTTTTGTGGGGAAATGTCTTCTCCGCTCTTCTTTCCACTTCTTAATGTCTTCTTCCGATTCCAATGACATAAACCTCTTCACTAATGTCTTGTCTTTGAAGCAGAAGTGTTGCATCCGTTGATGCGATTCAATCACTTTGGGATGTGCTCTGAAAGTGCACTCATCTAAACCACACTTTAATTAAACAAAATAATTATCATTAATTTACACAACTCTTAACAAAACATTAATACAAACCATAATATGTTCAGCAATGTGTTGATCGTAAAGTTCTTGGGATGTGAACCATCGACAGCATGTGTCACAATTTAGTGATGTCTTCTTATGGCTGTTATTGTTGTTATCGTTATTCACATTACTTTTAAATCTCTTGTTTTGGTGACCATTTGGTCCGCTGTTATGGCTGTTGTTTTGACCATAACTTTGATTATAATATCCATTATAGTTATGATTGAATGTGTTTTGAGTGTTGAATGAGTGATACGAGTGCTGATAATTGCCATACGAAGAGTTTTGGTGATAATTGGGTTGAAATTGTGGTCTAATTTGCGGGAAGTGTTGGCTGTGAACAAGCGATTGGTTTGGATTGTATTGAAACCACGCACGCGATTGGTGTCCGCCATCGGCGGTAGTGTTGACACCACTCGTGTTGCTATGATTTGAGCCGAAGTTTGGTTTGGGAAGCATTTCTGGTGACAATCAAAACACAACACTTCAAACATGTGCTCCTTATTGACGCAAATGCTGTCTCTATGACAACAAATATTGAATGCACTTTAAAAGCGATTAAGTGTTCCAAATTATTTGTGTAGTTAATCGGTTTATCATTTAATTTATAGCATAATTACATGCAATTATAATAGGTATATGTGTTAACTGTTTGAGCTTTTTATAAGATTTCAAAACAAAATGTGAAACTCTTTTATTACAAAAGTATTTTATTGTTTATTTACTCAACAATTGAGTGGAAAGTCTTCGAGAGTCACTCAGATCTGATCCATTGGTCATTATCTCAACCCAACGTCTTCTGGAGTCCATTGGGAACAACAGGTGAGTGACAATCAAAAGCCCATTTGAGTTGACACTAATGAGTGATGTGTTTATCAATGAGTGGTAGGAATGGTGTCCACAAAAGAGCTGATCTCTCGTCTGTCGCGAAACACGTTATATCTGTCGCTCATCTCATCCGCGGGTCTATTGCTGTCATTGTATTCGCTATACATTGAAGTCCGTCACGAAAATAGTGGCAGATTTGACGCCTTTTGTGACATTAATTCATACATCAGTTGTTCTAAAGTATTCCTCTCGAAGTATGCCTTCAATGCCAGCCATTCAGTCAAATCACTAACCAATTCATCCCATGATTGACCAACAGATATGGCACCGGTTTCGGAGTATTGCCGCCGCCATTGAATTTGCCGAATCCAGTGTTTGGTATCATTTTCTACTTCTTTCAGATCATAATATCCAACATATCGTATAATAACGTATTTCTGGCCAAACTATACATCGCTAACGCCGTCCTCTCGAACATCGGTTCCGTATATTTGGCGTACATTTTGGCGTTTGTGTTGAAGAACTTGTGTATAGTATGTGTAGCCATATATGCCGTCAACTTTGCGATGCTTTTGGTGTCCATNACTGCCGCGTCTGTACGGACTTCCCGAACGACTTCGTGACCTTTTGAGAGGAAGATAATCAAGAAGTGAAGTGACGACTCGTTGAGGAAGTACTACACGAAGAAGTGATGCACTCTTTGTGTCAATTGACGAATCGATAGGAATAGGGGTTTGTTTGAGAGGAGAATGTCATCGCATTTATTGACTCCTAAATTATAACAGACTAATCGAGGCTTAAGAGGAAAGTGTTGGAGGGATTGTGGATATATGTGGAAATGTGTGATCAGAGTTGCGTTCGGTATTTCATATGAAGCGTGCTTTTGATGCGATGGTTATGTCGACCACAATATAGAAGTGGAAGAATTGGTATAACACTAATAATGCCAACCATTTGAAAATCACTTCTTTGTCTCATTTCTCTCAGCATTAAAGAGACAGACATTTTGTTTTTGTGAGATATCGATCGCTATTAAGTGTCAGTCGTGAGCGACAGACGAAGAATGGACTCATATTTCTGTGCGGAAACTCATTGCGAGAATTCATTTCGAGTATTAGTTTTTTGCGGCGAATACACAGACATTGAGGAAGTGATTGATTGATTGATTCCTTCATTGAATGGCATGAAGTTATCATTGAGTGAATTGAAGTGTAATTCATTTGTTTCTCAATGTTTTGACATTCAATTTGCGCTAATAATTAAAATATAAAGAATATTCCTTAGCCTTACGTTACAACTAATATTTCAATCATTTTCATCATTAAATCAAATAATTAAATATTAAATCACATATAAATTACTAAAAAACATACAATACTTATAGAAAAATCTTAATAAATAGTTAACAATACTTATTGTCTAAAATGAGTGCCAAATACTAAACTCTATAAATGACTAAACAATTAATTAATTAATAAACAATTAAGATATTAACAAAAACAAATACTATTTTTTTAAACTAACCGTCATTTTGAGTCTCAAATAACATCAAATCAATGCATACCTGGAGTAACGCCTTCCTCGCGGACGCGAAGAGTATTCCTCCCGGAAGTCATCTCTTCGCGAGTCTCTGTAGCCCTCTCTTCGCGGAGGCCCTCTCGACGGCGGTCCACCCCTATGGCCGCCACCGCCATAACCACCACCGCCTCCACCGCCGTATCGATCGCCGCCGCGTCCGCCATAGCCTTTGCCGTCGTGTCGGGTCTTTCCGGTCGACATCTCAACCCTCACTCTTCGGCCGCAAATCATTCTTCAGACAAACAAAACAAATGCATTAAAACACGTGTCACACAAGACATGAGACCAATTGGTATCTCAAGAGTGTGTGAAAGAGCGGCAATGGATGCGTCCATACTTGCCGTCGAGGGCACGACAGGCGTCCTTCGCGTCGCGCGAGTCCTCAAACATGACGAACGCAAATCCCGGTGGGTTTGTGGCGACCCATACGTTACGGAGCGGTCCATAGGAGCGGAAGGCGTCCTCCAACTCCTGTCGGGTGCCGTTTGTGCCCAACTCTCCCACATAGACCTTGCAGTCGATCGGACACGACTCGCGCGGCGGTCCTCCACCTCCTCCTCCTCGCGATGACATCGATTGTGTGTGCGATCTGTCACTTCAACTGATCCGATATGTGGTCGTCAACTGATCCGTGGATGCAATGGTCGCGCAAAACAGATGCCAAACAAAAGGCCAAACCTTTCACTAAATATTACTCACAAAACACAGACTTTCGCTTTACATACGACTGATACTCAATGTTTTGTTGAAATTCAGTGCCTTTCATAAGTGCATACAGTCTACACATTTTTCCCATATATTGTACGGCAATTGCAATCAATGCTTCCTTTGGTTAGTCATTCATAAATAATGTCATTATTTGTCTTAATTTTGTAACAATTAATTTAATTACAGAACTACTAATTAAATTAATTATAATCTCATGAATCCAATATTAATTGTATTAGTTTTCCATAAATTTGTATAAAAACAGTCTTATTATTGAATACTTTATTTAATTGTTAATTTGCAAAACAAAATCAAAAAATAAAATTATATTTAATTCATCCAAAAATCAATTGAAAATACTTGAAATTCTTGACTAAAAGCGATATTTAAATGAGAGATAAATCACTCTTTTTTGTATCGTTTATATGAAGTGATTATACGATATCTTCTTATGGACACCAAAAGCATCGCAAAGTTGACGGCATATATGGCTACACATACTATACACAAGTTCTTCAACACAAACGCCAAAATGTACGCCAAATATACGGAACCGATGTTCGAGAGGACGGCGTTAG